GGTGCGTTTTAGCAAATTCTTTTACGAGGGGAAATTCATCCTACCACTACGAATGTGTGGGATATCACTAAAGTCCACACAGTCCCTGACTCTATAAGTTTACCATTAAATTTTACTTGATGTTGTTGGACTTCAATATTCAACACAAACCTTTCATTGTCTCTTAACTTAATCTCTTTACTGCAGTCTTCCAAACATTTCTATGCCATTCTTGTTGGAGATCTGGAAACAGATACTTTAGAAGTCCATTTTACTTTGCAGCACATATCTAAGTTGTTAAGAGGCTTATCATTTTTCCATTCAATATGCAACACATCCTGTTTATTCATACAGAGAAGTGCAGTTGGTATAAAATTTGTAACAAAGAAAGGAACACTGAAAAACATCTTTGGAATGAAGCTCTGAAATATATCCTTAGAAGGCAAATGATTCTATTAAAAACTGCAAATTGAGCAAAGAGACACCGGTTGTGAAGAAAACAATTGGAAAAGTTATCCTTCCAAAGTAATTACTGCAGTTATAGTATCATGTCTCCTTTCTCCAGTTACAGCTGAGATTTTAAAAAACTCTTGAGAGAAACTCCAGAACATGGCCATATAGCCCGGAAAAACCTACAACAACCCAGTGATCCCAGCCATGAAAGCCTTCAACAATAGTTCTTGTGGGTTTTTTCGGGCTATATGGCCATGTTCTAGAGGCATTTCTCCTGACGTTTCGCCTGCATCTATGGCAAGCTTCCTCAGAGGTGAGGTCTGCTGGAGCTGGGAAAAAAGGGGTTTATATATCTGTGGAATGACCAGGGTGAGACAAAAGGCTTTTGTAAGTTGGGCTAGGTGTGAATCTTTCAACTGACCACCTTGATTAGCATACAATGGGCTGACTGTGCCTGGAGCAAACTCTTCTTGAAAGGTGATTAGATGTCCCTGCCTGTTTTTCTCTGCTGTTTTTGCTGTTGCAATTTTAGAATTTTTTAATACTGGTAGACAGATTTTGTTCATTTTCATGGTTTCTTCCTTTCTGTTGAAATTGTCCACATGTTTGTGGATTTCAATGGCTTCTCTGTGTAGTCTGACATGGTGGTTGTGAGAGTGGTCCAGCATTTTTGTGTTCTCAAATAAAATGCTGTGTCCAGGTTTGTTCATCAGGTGCTCTGCTATGGCTGATTTCTCTGGTTGGAGTAGTCTGCAGTGCCTTTCATGTTCCTGGATTCTGTTTGGGCGCTGCGTTTGGTGGTCCCTATGTAGACTTGTCCACAGCTGCATGGTATACGGGAGACTCCTACAGAGGTGAGAGGATCCCTATTATCCTTTGATGAACGTAGCATTTGTCGGATTTTCTTGGTGGGTCTGTAGGTGGTTCGTATGTTATGTTTCCTCATCAGCTTCCCTATGCGGTCAGTGGTTCCCTTGATGTATGGCAAGAACACTTTTCCTCTGGGTGGATCATCATATTTACTCTTGTGGCTTGTTCTTGGTCTTGCAGCTCTTCTGATGTCTGAGGTGGAATATCCATTGGCCTGTAGAGCCCAGTTGAGGTGGTTCAGTTCCTCTTGGAGGAGGTGGGGTTCACAGATTCTTTTTGCACGGTCTGCCAAGGCTTTGATGGTGCTTCTTTTTTGACTTGGGTGATGGTTGGAGTTTTTATGTAGATATCTATCTGTGTGTGTGGGTTTTCTGTAAACGGTGTGACCCAATTGTTGATCTGGTTTGCGGATGACTAGGACATCTAGAAAAGGCAGTCTTCCTTCATTTTCTTTTTCCATAGTGAACTGGATGTTAGGGTGGATGCTGTTAAGATGGTCCAGGAACCTGTTGAGTTCTTCTTCTCCATGGCTCCAAATGGTGAAAGTGTCATCCACATATCTGAACCATATAGTGGGCTTTTTGGTTGCTGTTTCAAGAGCTGGAACATCTTAACAGCATCCACTGTATGCTAATCAAGGTGGTCAGTTGAAAGATTCACACCCAGCCCAACTTACAAAAGCCTTTTGTCTCACCCTGGTCATTCCACAGATATATAAACCCCTTTTTTCCCAGCTCCAGCAGACCTCACCTCTGAGGAAGCTTGCCATAGATGCAGGCGAAACGTCAGGAGAAATGCCTCTAGAACATGGCCATATAGCCCGAAAAAACCCACAAGAACTGAGTGATTCCGGCCATGAAAGCCTTCGACAATACATTGAAACTCAAATGGCTGCTTTTAGTTATTTTTTTTAAATAAAAATGAATGTGAAAAGCTTTGATACAAACAACATACTCTTCATTGCCTCCCCAGCACCAAAAACACAGTATGAAACAACAAAAGAAGGTACAGCATGAATCAGTGGTTGGACCTTGTAACATTCCCCTTCAGCATTTCAGTCTCCCATAACTACGAAATATAACAATTACAATTACTGTACAGTAACACAAGAAAAGGAGTTGTGGTACACCTTGTACTTCTAAGGTGTACTTACTCCTAAGTTATGCCTTCTTTATTGGAAGGAGAGGATTAGATATAAGCAACCTGTTGCTCCCAAGCTCTGGCAGAGACAATAGCTCAAACAATATCCTAAGACAGTCCTTTTTTTTTTTTTTTTTTGGAGACTGTCTTCATTCAGATGAATACAAAGTGAACTTTGCAAATATTAAGCTGTAACCTTCAAATCTGTTTGGCTTGACCTGACATTCTCTTTCTGTCCTGATCTGCAGGACAAAAGGAGACAGGAAGACATCAGAAGTCACAAAAAGGAGAAGGGAAATTGGAACGAACTGATACTCACTACTCTATGGAGCTTATCATGGCAGAGACAGGTCAGAGGGACAGGTCTGCAAGCCATGGTAAACAAACCACAGGTAGAGGAACCATGGTTTGGCTTAGCTGTCCCTGCTCATAATGGGTGTGATTATGTGTTGTGCACTTGCACCCTCTCTATAAAAAATAAACTAAGGCTTTCCCCAGCTTTGTTGTGTTGGATGAACCAGCTCAGTGAGTGCATGAAGACCAATACAGGTGGAGTCAGGGATTGAAAGAGAAGCAGTTTATGATAAGCACTGCTCTGTGGAAAAGCACTAGAGGAGAAAAGGTCACAAGCAGGAAGATGGCTGATAAACAATCAGCAGGAATACTACTGATAAGTCTTCCTACAAAGAAAACTACAAGGAGAACTTAGATATACAGAAACAGCAAGATCATACTGAAAGTATGTCAACATGAAATGCAAGGTTCTCCTCTCCCTTTCTTTTGACTATCTGTGCAATACATGTAGGCATGTAGCCGGGGGGGGGGGGGGGGCTTGGGGGGCTTCAGCCCCCCCCCCGAAATTCTCATGGTGGTTTGCAAAAAGGCCTTACTGGTGCATTATTTAAACTGTTATGTTTATTCATATCAAGATCTGATCACCATACTCAATATATCCCATATGCATGGGGGTATTGGGGTAACGATAAAAAAGGTTTGCTAGGGTTGTATTTTGCACCTGTTTTACTATGTTGTACACCGCAATGAGTCGCCATTAGGCTGAGAATTGCGGTATATAAGCGAAGTAAATAAATAAATAAATAGACCCTCTTTCACTCAGACTCAGCCCCCCACCCGAAACAACCCCCCCCCCCCCGAATCGAAATCCTGGCTACAGGCCTGAACACATGTATTCCAATTATGCTGTAAGAAGGTTCAGTCAGACATTTAAGACAAACTTTAAGACAAACTTTCTCCTGTTCCATTTAAAACCCCAAACATTCAAATTCCATTTAATTCATCATAGTTGGTCTGGTGTTGAACCAACACACAATCTTTCAGCTTGTTGAGTTCACTGATTTTCAGAAGGATGTGGACATGTTCTGTTTTATAAATTTATTATGGAATTCCAGCTTTCTCCCTTGTTCCACAATGTCAGAGGAACTTAGTCATAACAGAGATTGAATGTCAGACACAGAGGAGTACTCTTCCAGAAAATATTTGGGGGAAGTGGGAGATTCCTCAAACGACTGTATTTTCAAATTATCAGATTAACCTTCTCAATACCAGTTACTGAGGTGAACAAGCTATTGTCATCATGTCCTGCTTATGACTTCTGATGGGCACCTGGATGTTGAAGTACAAAGACCTTTGGATTGATCTAGTATTCTGAGGAGCCCCCGGTGGCGCAGTGGGTTAAACCCCAGTGCCAGCAGGACTGAAGACCGACAGGTCGCAGGTTCGAATCCGGGGAGAGGCGGATGAGTTCCCTCTGTTAGTTCCAGCTCCCCAAGCGGGGAGATGAGAGAAGCCCCCCACAAGGATGATAAAAACATCGAATCATCCGGGCGTCCCCTGGGCAACGACCTTGCAGACGGCCAATTCTCTCACACCAGAAGCAACTTGTAGTTTCTCAAGTCGCTCCTGACACGACAAAATAAATAAATAAATAAATCTAGTATTCTTATCCGAAGTGATATTCTTTATTTCTCATATCTTAATTGTAATACATGTGCTAAAACTGCTGAATTACTTCAGTCAATTACAACCAACTTGAGGTGTGGATTCACAGTCTCATTTCTCTAGCATCAGACACAGAAGAAGACTTCCAGATTTTGCTGGATTTAGCACAACCAAGTGCAGAGGAATGCTGGCAGCAGCAATCTAACCACATTTGGAGGATTGCATGATTCTCACAATTGGAGTAAATCAATTACCTGCCCACCTTATTCACCTTCTCAATTAGTTCCCATGATAAATATACAATTGGAGTAAATCAATTACCTGCCCACCTTATTCACCTTCTCAATTAGTTCCCATGATAAATATACAAAAAAACTCTGTGGAAGAAGAACAATTAACTCAACATACGCTGATTGGCGATCGAATCAACTGATGAAACCAATTATCATGAATCAATTGTTATTGAAATTGGCACCAATCAGTAACTGTGCATTAGATTCATTGCCCTTGCACATACAGACAAGCAGCATAACACCCAAATATGGCTTGAAGCATGTGCATCGGTGAATGTGCTTTTCAAAAGCAAAGCATCTACTTACCTTCAATATCTCAGGTTCTCTAATGTCCAGAGGTTCTGTATGCAGTTGCTTGTTCCAACGTGTATGTAGCCTGCTATACCTGGCACTTGGTGTAAAAAGCCAAATTGCACAGATAGCAATCATAAACCCAATGGCAACTCCCAAAAAGAGTCCGCTGAAGTAAACAGGTAGGGGGAGTATAAGATAAGCATAGATCAGCATTGTGAGAAAGTACAATGTCTTCATTGGAAGTTTAGGCGGTTGCACATGAAATTCAATGTCACCTTCGCTGCTGAAAGGTGCAGGGCTTTCCTCAGGCACCTCCAACTTCAACAAATCTTCGCAATGTTTCTCGGCTTTGTCATCCTCTATCAAACAGAAATCCTCAGAATACAGTTCACAGAACTCCTCATCTTCTTTGCTTGCCAAGGCAGACAAAGAACATCTTTCAAGTACCAGTGACCCCTTTAAATTGGCATCCTTTGTGCTTAATGATGGGGAACTTCTACTTTCAGCCTCTTTTGCATGCTCTTCGGCTATCTGGGGTTGTTTAGTACTCTTATTTATACTGGAGTCACTTCCGTAGAAGTCCCCCTCAGAGTCACATTCTTCTTCCTTAATGCTATAATTGTTATTGCTTTCCAAATGGCCGTTCAAGCTGGAAAGATTTGACAGTTCTGAAGCACTTGAAGATAAGGCTTTGGGCCTGTGGCTACTGCTCTCATCGCCCATTATTTTACTTAGGAGCTGAAAAGGCTCATAAATCACTTCTGAAAGGCGCCTTTTTGTGTCTTCAATTTTGGCCTCCATTTCGGGTACTTTAAAAAAGGAACGGGTATCTGAAGGAGATGTTAGGGGGGAAGAGGGAGCCGTTTTGGAATCGCCACCTGTGCTCCGAGGCTGAGTGAACTGCTTGAACAAGTGCAAGTTCAGTTTAGAGTCAGGTGGTTTGTATGACACCGTTTCAGACTCCTGCTTAGAAGTGTCTGTGGACAGAGACTTCACCAGGGATTTCATTAATTGCCTATGTCTTGTGGGTGGAGTGGGCTCTTTTGGTTCAATGTCTGTTGAAAGGGACTTAACTAAACTCATGAAAGGCTTTGAGCTAGTAACAGAGGCGGGTGTGCTAGATGTGAAAAGCGACTTGGAAGGAGAGGTCAATGGAGAAGACGACAGGGTGGTTCTCGGTTCTGAAGGCAAAGCCCCACCTGAGGAGGCAGAGGCATTACACGAAGGTGAGGAGGGTGACATAGCTGATGGCACCGCTGCGCTGAAGACTTGGGGCTCCAGCGGCTTTACAGTTGGCATGGTTGCGGGAGATGAGGTGAGCAGAGATGCAGCCATTTTAAGCGAGGTAGTGGAACCAGAAGAGTCATGGTCACCAAGATCAAAGCAGAGGTCCTCCTTAGCTTCCAGTGCTGTTACAATGCTTTGGTCATCCAGTGTCTCAGGGGGCGACTCCTTGAACTCTTCTTCCTCCTCCTCTTCCTCCTTCCCAAACGCCGAGAAATGAATGGTGATGGTTTCTCGGGAAACAGATCGCTGAACCTGAACTTTTGGTGCTGGCTGCTTTGAAGACATTTCCCCAGTTTTCTCTGCATGGCTACTGTTCAGGCTTGTCATTGCAGGTCACAGAGATGTGCCAGGGTCTGTAAGGAAAAAAGCCAAACATAGACTAGAGTGAGTAAGAGAGGTTGGGCTCACCAACATCCTGGGCTTGACTTCAATGTACAGAGGAGAAGGGAAGGTAGCAGGAATAAGCCCCAGACATTGAGTGCTTGCCTCATCTGTAGCATCCTAAGATTGACTTCTATGTACACAGGATAGGGGAAGGCTGTGTCATGAAACCTGGGAGCTGAGCGCACTTCTTTCTGTTTGAAGCATGCCAGGCACCACTGCTATCAGAAGAGCGGAAATACTGCAGCAGAAGCAGGAAAAAGATGTGCCTGGCACCCAGGCCTTGCCACCACAGCCTCTGCTACTGATGGCTATTTTCCCCCAATCAGTTTAAGTCCACAATCAGTTAAATCCAGAGACACCAAGCTTGCAGATCTCAATGTATTGTCTGCTATCAAACTAACGCCAGTTTCCCTAGCTACATCACCTTCACTAAAGCCTAAATCCATAATAGTTAATATTTCTAACATTGAACCATTTTGGGGGACTAAAATGATGAGAACAGACATGGTACATGCAATGAATGAATGTGAAGCTCTTGCTCAAGATGTGTATTTAGCTCAAAGCTCCATTTCACACAGCTTGAAGTAGATCTCTGCATTATGACCTTTGCCCATTGAGGGCTTTCAACCAAGAAGAGATGGGGCAAAAAAAAAAACCCACATAGGTAGGGTTTGAACAATTCTGCAGAGGTACTAAAGAATTTCCAGACAAATAAGAATACTATCATGAACCAGGTTAGCCCATTATAAACAGTGAGAACTGTATGGGGTGTGATTTGCTTTCTGAAATGATTCGTCAGGTTAGTCATCAATGACAACTAATGTGAAGGTAAAATGCACCTCTTGCCATTGCCAGCAACCAATTAAGGTTATTAATGGGCAGGATTGGGATTTAATAAAGTAGAGCTATTTAGTCCCTTTCCAAGTGAACATTCAACTCTAAAAAAGAATGACTCAGAGGTGTGTTGATGTATTCTATATAGTTTGTCTATTCATGAAATATTTCTGCATGCAATTAAGACCACAGATCACATACCAAGCCTAAAGCAAATTGCAGACAACTGTGTGCTTTCTACGAGGACAGATTCATTTTAGGATGCTGATCACATTAGGAAAGAGAATTTCATGTATCATCTATCCCCCCCCCCTTTTTTTAAAGAGAAGGGTGTATAAAAAGAGAAGGTGCAAAAATGTTCCATGGAAATGAAGTGTGTATAAGTATGAGAGCCAACGGAAACTAAATGTAAGCAAGATGCTGTAATGTTGAAACAATATTTAAAAGGAAAGGGTATTTCAAATCACATTGCAGCACAAAAGGTTTTTCATGGCAGTTGCACAACTGGGATCTAGTGAGTGACAGTATCTTTTTCTTAACTGATGAACCCAGGAAAGTGTAAAGAGTAAAATGCAAATGTAAAATACTTGGTCAAAACAAAATATCTACATGCCAAGCATTCTGTTTGCCTAGCAGTCAACTTGGGACCGCACAGCAAGTCCACAAGCAGGACAGTGACAGCAGAGAAGCTATCACTATGGGAGTAAAGTATTCTCTAAAGGCCTCATCCACTCTTTCCTCTCTTAGCTTTTCAAGATCAGGTATAATGAGTACGTTCTCTGACTACCAAGAAAATTACAGCTCTTGGCACATGCCTTTAACTCAGTGGTTCCTAACCTTTGGTCCTCCAGTTGTTTTGGAATTCAACTCCTAGAAAGACCAGCCAGTTTACTAGCTGTTAGGAACTATGGGAGCTGAAGTCCAAAACACCAGGAGGACCAAAGGTTGGGAGGCACTCTTTAACTCATAGGTGCCAAACCTATGGCCCTCCAGATGTTTGGGTCTCCAACTCTCAGAAGCCTTGGCCAGCTTGTCCAATGGCTAGAAATTCTGGGAGCTTAAGTCCAAAACACCTGGAGGGCCACAAGTTGGTACCACTGCACTCCTGTCCAGCAGGCAAACAATCCTAAATGTGACATTGTGAAACGTCAAACTAGACAGCACCCACAGCCTGTATCTCTTCTTTTTCTTGGGATCATTTACTTGGAGACTTAAGAGTATATGCACTATGAAGGGAAGACTCGACTTGCTCACGCTCCAGTTAAATCTGTTCCACTTTTATAGCTTCCTGCATCTGTAAGACAGTTGATTAAATGAAGAGTTTTTTTAAAAAACAAAATGAAACCACAAATGTGTGTGAGGGAAAGAGACAGAGAAGCCAGCTACTTTGTTGCACCAAACTCCAGTAACTAGAAAACTACATCAGTTGAACCCCTAATAATTGTGGTTTTTTTTTTAAAATCAATGCAAGGAGTGTCCTATGGTAGAAAACAAAGGAAAAGCTGTTATTAGAACCTCTCTTCAAATGCGAAGGTCTGACTAATGATGAGTATGACTCAGCTGAAAAACAAAAGTCTAATCTTTTAAAATTGGACTGAGATCATGACCTAAATGGTAACTTAAAGGCTTTGCTGCAAGTAACTAAAACTTCAATTGTAAGTTGAGATACAATCTGTGTTCATAAATGTGTTTTCACTGGCTTCATCTGCTCCCTAGTCATCTCCCATGTACAGCTTACACAGTGAGGATTTTGAAATTCCTTTTCAAGATGAGGATTTAGTCAAAATTCCTAGCCAGGGTTTGCTTCAGTCAGTGGAGGCTGGTTGAGAGTTCCTAGAACTGCAAATTTCTTCAGGGTGTTCTCTCCTAGAATTTAGCTCACATACTTGGAGTTCTTAAAAGGATTACGGTGGTAAGATTTAGCTACTTTTGCTATATCTGTGTTTCAGCTCCAACTGATGATTAATATATTAAATTACATGATGACAGATGAGGGAGATAAAGAAATAACTTAGCATTCACTTTCTCACTCAGGAGCTTATCTCCCTGTCTGCAGAGGATACATTCCTGAAGTTATTGTGGAAACAGGAAACATAGATAATAATGAACCTTGTGGAAGTTACCACAGTTACCTAGGAGTACCTCAAAAATTCCCCGAGAGGTATCCTCTTTAGGAATTTGCTTGGTTCTCCAGGGCAACTCTATAGTAACTTCAGATGCAAGAAATTCAGAAAATGGCTGGGAAGACCTAGAAAATTCCCAAAGATGACATCTTTTGTCAGATACAGGTGGGTGAAACTGCAGGTACTGATTCACAGCTACTAATACTTGACACTTTGTTACAGTGGCTGAAACATCATCAGCAGAGGACCTTACTCTTGTACTCTATGTTGCTTCCCAGCCCAAGAATATTATTATTTGTATTATAAATCGCAGAATTCTTCAGCTAGCACTGGCAGTTTTAGGCGTTCTAGTCCAAAAACCAAACATTCCCAAACTCTCTGTCCCATTGGTCCCCAAACTAAGGCCAGCGGGCCAGATGCAACCCTCCAAGGTCACTGTAAACAACTTTTTTTGTTGTGTCAGGAGCAACCTGAGAAATTGCAAGTCGCTTCTGGTGTGAGAGAATTGGCCGTCTGCAAGGACGTTGCCCAGGGGACGCCCAGATGATTTGATGTTTTATCATCCTTGTGGGAGGCTTCTCTCATGTCCCGCATGAGGAGCTGGAGCTGATAGAGGGAGCTCATCCGCCTCTCCCCGGATTTGAACCTGCGACCTGTCGGTCTTCAGTCCTGCTGGCACAGGGGTTTAAGCCACTGCGCCACCGGGGGCTCCATTGTAAAGAACTTGAAGACACACAACAACAATAATCCTAATTAAAATGCTGCTTTGAATCTCCTTGTGGAGAGAAAAAGTGAGGTATAAATAAATAATAATAATAATTGACTGTCTTATCAGCCAAAAGCATTGAAATACTGGTTAATTGATGTTGGTTAAATTGTTCTTCGTTTTAAATATTGTTTTGTTCTTTCGGGTTTTTTAGTTTTAGTTTTTTGGGGTTTTTTTGCACTACTAATAAAATATGTGTAGTGTGCATAGGGATTTTTTTTCAGACTATATTCTGGCAGTCTGAGGGACCATGAGCTGGCCCTTAGATTAAAAAGTTTTGGGACACCTGTTCTATCTTTTCCCTGATGCCCTCCCTTTCTTGAGGTGCAACTGTCAGGGTGACATATCAAGATGCGAGTCATATCTGCTTACTACTGAAGACAGAACAGCGAATCCTTGGCCTAATTCAGCAGAGCTCCTCACACAGGAAAGAACTGCATTAGAGAATGCAAATGCAGCCTTTCCACAAAACCTGTGGGGTGGGGGACAGACTTGAGAACTCCACCACACGCGTCCCTAAGGAAATTCAACAGCAGGACTACTATGTGGGTGGATGGGAAGTGTAGACAAACCTGCTTCCAACCTATAATTAGCCAGACATACATTATCTGCTGCTGCACATGGGTTTTAGGTCTGACAGACGGCTTGCAGGTTCTATTACGGGCCATTAGTACAGTGTCGATACCCTATATATGAGGATCACATGACCTCACAATAGGTTAAGCCATAAAGGTAAGGAAATTATTCCTGCTCCTACCAGAAAACCAGTAAAGATGTTCAAGAAGTCCAGTCCTTTTGCAATAGTTTAGATAAAGTAATAAAGCATTGCCTGAGGGAAAATTGTGGGGAGGGAGCAAACCCGAAATTACATTCGATTGTCAAGACAACAGATTTGTCACCTTAGTAACTACATTATTTTCAGGAGCAGTGAGTGGTGCCATAATCAAACTGTCAAAAGCAGAATTTATAAGAACTCCTTAAGCATAGCATTAATCTAGAAAACTATCTTTACTCTCCCACCCCCCAAAAAAACCAAACCAAGCAAAGGCGCTGTTGTCTAATCAGGGTGCTCCCCAGGATACGACTGACCCATTCTTTACTCTAAATCAATACAAAACACCTGGTGACAATATTTTTATGTTTTCTATTTAACCACACAAACATTAACGAATCTGAGCTAATCATCATCTCACCAGCTGCTGACAGGCATCATGAAAATCATAGCGGGCCTCTTCTGGTGGAAAAC